CTTGTGTGAGTCACACTTTCCTGATATTTTGTATTTCTCTTAATTTTGTTGCAAATTGGACATTTTAGGTAATATCTTGCAGCAACTTTGTATACTGACTCTTCCCCACACTTGTTACTGTTTGCTTGTTTACTTGTTGAGTGACCAGGTTGGGCTATTTCACTGTTGCTTGTTTTCCCTGCATCCTGCAGCCTCTGACGCTACTGCTCAGCAGACACACTGTTGGGTATCTGTATAGTCACCCTAGGGTGAAGTAGTTTTAGCAGTGTGCTCTTTGACTTTCCCTTTTCCTGACCGTTTTCATTAAGCTTACTGCCTCTGTAAGTACAACACTGAGTTGTTAAGCACCACTAGTTGTTGGTTGATTGCTGTATTGTTTGTCATAATGTCTTGAGGTCATAAATTCCTCCTTAGTTAAACTAAATCCAGGCCTCTGCAAGAGTACTCTTTTTTTTCTTTTATTATTTTTGTTCAAGTACAATTGTCTCCATTTTTACCCCACCTTGACCCCCTCCCCCACCCATCCCCGCCTCCCATCGTTGAACCTACCCCTTTTGGCTTTGTCCATGTGCCCTTTACACATGTTCCTTGATGGCCCTTCCCCTATTATCCCCCATTATCCCTCTCCCCCATCCCCTCTGGTTACTGTCAGTTTGTTCTTTATTTCAATGTCTCTGGTTATATTTTGCGCATTTGTTTTGTTGATTAGGTTCTGCTTATAGGTGAGATCATATGGTATTTGTCTTTCACCACCTGGCTTATTTCACTTAGTATAACGCTCTCCAGTTCCATCCATGCTGTTATGGAGGATAGGAGCTCCTTCTTTCTTTCTGCTGCATAGTGTTCCATTATATAAATGGCCATCATAAACAAATCAACAAGCAACAAGTATTGGAGAGGTTGTAGAGAAAAAGGAACCCTAGTTTACTGTTGGTGGAAATGTAGATTGGTGCAGCCACTGTGGAAAACAGAATGGAATTTCCTCAGAAAACTCAAAATGGAACTGCCTTTTGACCTGGTAAATCCACTGGTGGAATTACACCCTAAGAATTCTGAAACACCAATTCAAAAGAATCTATGCACCCCAATGTTCATAACAGCACAATTTATAATAGCCAAATGCTGGAGGCAACAAATACATCAGTGGATCAAAAAACTGTGGTGCAAGAGTACTCTTTAAGACCTGTCTTTTATGTTTGCTCCAACCTCAAAAGGATTCTCCTTAGCTATCTTTCTCCACTTATAAACTTGTACCTGTGCTATGTTTTATTTTCTTGCTCTCACAGAGCTACCAGCCTCCTCTAAGTTTCGTGTCACTGTAATCTCCCTTGTTTTGAGGAGCGCCCTTCAACTTGAATTTACCCATACTCTATTTCCAATAAAGTCATTTCCCTTAGGAAGAGCTTTGGAGTTCTCTGTGGGGTCAGGGACTGGGACTTTTTTCTCTGAGTGACACTGCTGATTTATTAGCTGGGCACTGGGCAGGGGTGCTAATCTCTGGTCTCATTGGTTGCCTCCTCCAGCACAGCATCTCTCCACTACAAGCTAGCTGGGGTGAAGCAGGTTGGGGCACTGGTGTCCCCACATTTTCTTAATACTTCTCCCACTTAGAAGAAATGAATTCAAATTTCTTAACGAGTCTAACATGCTTGGTATGATTTGTCTGCTTTCTGGAACAGGATAACCACGGGGCATCTTATTCTTGCTAGAAGTTTCTATTCTTTGAAAGTGTCTGGAATTAATGGCAAATTCTGTTAGTGAGAGTCAACATGTAACCACAATAGTGTCTTTCCACTTAGCCAGTGTAATATTTTCTGTGGTTTTACAAATAGATATGAAATAAGTCACTCTGGTAAATCATGCTTCACAAGTCCACTGCTCCCAGGCCATTGCATTTTGTTGCAGTGATGCAGAGGCTTCAGCCAACAAAGTGTTTGCCTTTGCAGCAACCTAATGCAAAGATGAGAGACAAAATTACTGTCTTCGTAAACTTTCTTGCAAACTAGCAAAGTTATATTTATTTTTTTCATTTTGAATAATTCATTTATTAGCTTACTTTTTCAAATATTCCCATTCATTCTCTCATTCATTTTTATCATTTATTTTCTAAAACATTTCCTCCCAAAATAGGTCCAGTTTGACCAGTAGATTCAGTTTGGCGACTGAACTATCACTCTTTCTGGTGGCCCAGCTCCTACACATTTCCAGTCATGTGGGGTGACAAATCTGTATGTCTTTTATTGACTTTCTTGTCTTAACACTTCAGCTAAAACCTCTTAACAACATTGAGTAGGTGTAAGAGCAGACATCTGCCTTGCTTTTCATCTCAGGTGAAAGGCATTCCAATTTTCACCTGTAGGTAGAGGGCTCACTTCAGGGGTTTTTGGTAGCTTTTTAAAGTCATATCGATGAAGACCCCTTCTATTTCTTGTTTGCTGACAAGTTTTATTGCACATAGATGTTGGATCATCGCCAATGCCTTTTCTGCATCTGTTGAGATGTTAATGTGGTTTTTCTTTCTTAATATAACATAGTGAATCACACTGGCTTTTGAAATGATAAGTCAATGGTGCAATCCAGGGATAAACTCTCCTTAGTTATGATATATTATCCTTTCTTAAAGACATACTATTGGATTTGATTTGCTAAAATTTTGTTAAGAATTTTCCTATCCATGTGCGTGAGAAATTCTGGTAGTTTTTTTTTTTTCATGGTAATATCCATGTCTGATTTTAGTATCAGAGTAATGCCAGCCTCACAGAATGAGCTGGGAAATATTCCCTTCTCTTCCATTTTATAAAGGATTTTGTTTAAGATCAAATCACTCCCTCATAATTTTCTCCTGATTTATTTTCTTATAGCATTTAATCTTACTTTTTTCTTTACTTACTTTTATGATCTTTGTTTAAAATTGGCATTATTTCTTTCACAAATATTCCGTAGAATTCATCAGGGATGTCTTATGGACCCAGAATGTTCTTTGTGGGGAAGTTTTCAAACTTAGTAACCTATGTCATATAAGACTATACAGGTTATTAATTTATTTTTATGTTGGCTTTGGTAATTTGTTTCTTTCCAAAGGAATTTGTCCATTTCTTCGCAGCTGTCGAATTTATTGTCATAAAGTTATTTATTATATTGTATATATTTTTAACATATCTATAGAATGTATTGATTTCCTATCTTTAATTACTAGTATTTCTCATTTGTGTCTTCTCTCTTTATTCTGACAAGTCTGGATATAAGCATATCAATTTTATTGATCTCAAATAATCAGCTTCTGATTTAATTGATGTTTTTATTGTTCTTTTGTTTTATATTTCATTAAATTTGCTTTTCCTGTATGTCTCTTCTTTTACTTACTTTGGGTTTAATTTGCTATGTTGTTCTAGATTTTTAAGATATAAGCTAAAGTCATTGATTCTGTTCTGTTCCAGGCATTTAGTGCTGTAAGTCTCCCTCTCATCACTCCTTTGCTTGTATTGTGCGAACTTACTTAGATTGTGGTTTTTTTTCATTAACTGGGAATTACATTCTAGTTGCCTTTTGATTTACTCTTTGCATAAATGTTTTGGAAATGTTTTACTTATTTTATACAGATTTTAGGATTTTCCAAATAACCTTTCATTATGGAGTTCTAATTTAATTTCTTTGCTGTCATTTAACATATTTTTAGATTTTCAATTTTTTTTACTTATTGAAATTTTTTTCCTATGGCCCAGAATGTTTTATCATTCTATATGTTCTGTATGCAATAGAAAAGGATTACACATTGCTATTGTTCAGCAAAGTACTTTATAAGTGCTAATTAAAGTGAGTTGATGGTATTGCTATCAACCTACATAGCCTGATTATCCTAGGCAGTTTGTCCCAGTCAATGTTCAAATAATACTATACCACTTACTATATAGGTAAGAACCTTATGAGAACATACTTGCATTTCCCTTTTTCTTTCTTTGTTCTATTATTATCATATGTTTTACTTCTGTAGATGTTATAATTCACACACACACTATATATATTTGTATATATATATTACTTCTGCTTACTCAATTATCTTTTAGAGAGATTTAAATCATAAGAAATTCTTTTATATATTTACCATTTACATTTTTTTTTGTATTTGCAGATAAAGATAGAATCATTTTACTTAGAAGTCTGAAGAACTTCTTTTAGCTTTTTAGTATGGGTCTGCTAGTTATAAATCTTGGAGCTTTTGTAAGTGTGAAAAATTATGTTTTTAACCTATGTTTTTATTATTATTATATTTTTTATTTTTGTACAATTACAGTTGTCCCCATTCCCCTCCTCCATTACTCTTCCCTGCCCTACACACTCCCCACCTCCCACACTCAATCCTCCCCTCCACCTCGTTTTTGTCCATGGGTCCTTCATACATGTTCCTCGGCTAGACCCTTTCCCTTCTGTCCCCCATTGACCCCCTTCCCCTCCCTTCTGGCCACGTCTTTATTATTTCCATGTCTCTTTTAACCTGTGTCTTTTAAAGATACTTTGAGTGTAAAATTTTAAGTAATATTTTCTTTTCTTTTAGTGTTTTAAACATACTTTTCTACTGTCTTGGGGCTTGCATTGTTTCCAGTAAAAGATCTCCTGTCATTGTTTTATTTGTGTCTCTGCACAAGTTTGTTTATTATTTTATTTACATTACTGACTGATAGTAATATTTTTTCTTTGTCATTGTGATTTTGTTATGCTTGGTGGAATTTTTTAAGTCATGGGTATAGTTTAAAAGAAATGAAAACAGACTCAAGTAAGACTTCTTTTGACACTAAAATATAAAGCAGATAATCCTATCAAGTAGTTTTCACAGACATAAATATCTAGATAGAGTGCAGCACATTATTAGATAAATATAATTTTTGTCATATTTTTCTTCTTAAAAATCAGACTTTACTTTTAGATCAGTTTTAAAAGCAGTTTTAGGTTCACAAAAAAGGAGTGAAAGGTACAGAGATTTCCTATACATTCTCTTCCCGCACCGCAGCCTCCCGCACTGTCAATATCCTGCACGGAGTGACACATTTGTTGTGATGAGTGGGCCTGCGTTGCCACAGCATCATCACCCATAGGCCAAATTTGCATTACGGTCATCCTTGGCATTGTACATTCTGTGGGCTTCGACACATGTATAATGACATGCATCCAGCATCATGATACCCTGCAGAGTAGTTTCACTGCCCTAGAAGTGTTCTGGGCACTGCCTCTTCTCTCCATCCTCCCTCAGGTAACCACTGGCAATGAGTATTGCCTCTACTCTTTCCATAATTGTGCCTTTTCCTCAATGTTACAAAGTTAGAATCATATACTATATGATTCATTGAGCTAGGTCACACAACATATGATTGTAACTATATAACATTTCCTCCATGTCTCTTCATGGTTTGTTAACTGATATTTTAGAGCTGATTAATATCCCATTATCTGTATGTAGCGCATTTTATACATTAATCCACTAGAGGACATCTTGATTACTTTCACCTTTTGGCAATTATGAATTAAACTCCTTTAAATACTCATGTGTGGCACAGGATTATATATGAAATAAATTTCCAACTCATTTGAGTACACACTGAGGAGCACAATTATTGGACTGTATAGTACGAGTACATTTATTATGTAAGAAACTGCCAAACTGTGTTCCAAAGTGGCTGTACCATTTGGTATTCACACCAGCAATAAATGAGAGTCTCATTTGTTGCCATTTGTTGCCATTACTGTTTTGGATTTGGGTCACTGTAATAGGTAAGTAGTGGTATCTCATTACTGTTTTAATTTGAAATTCCTTGATGACTTATGATGTTGAGCAGTTTTTCATATGCTAATTACCATCTTTCCATGTTCTTTGGTAAGGTGTCTATTCAGATAGTTTGCTTATTTTTAACTCTGTTTGTTTTCATACCGTGGAGTTTTAATACATTTTTCCCCCAGTGTCTGACTTGCCTTCTCATTCTATAGGCAATGTCTTTTGCAAAGCGGAAGTATTTGATTTTGATTAGCTCATTAAGTCAAGCTTATCCATTCTTTCTTTCATGGATTATGCCCCTGGTATTGTGCAGCCATGCAATGCTTAAAAGAGGGGATGTGTTCTGGGAAATGCACTGTTAGGTGATTTTGTTGTGTGAACACCACAGAGTGTGCTTACACAAACCTAGAGGGCACAGTATCCCTTTCCAGAAGAGGGAGGTTTTCATCCACAGTGAATATTTGCTCCAGCGAGTAATTTTCCTCCACAACAGCTTATCTACTTTCCAAAATTCTTCAGTTGCCTTTACATCAGCACTTGCAGACTTACCCTTCACACTCACATAGTGTAATAAATGATTCTTGAATTGCTTAAACCACCCAGAGCTAGCAGTAAGTTCAGCATTGTAGTCAGGTCCAGACTTTTCTTTCAACATTACAAAAGCAAACTTTGCGCTTTGGTTGTGATTGTCATGGTGCCGAAAGGGATGCACTTCTGTGCCTGGCCTTCAATCTAAGTCATTAGAACTTTCCAAGTTTGATCTAGGACCTTTCTGAACTTTGTTGGTCTTGTCATCAATAGAGCAGATTTTTAACAGCTTTCATCACTTTTTCTTGTTCTCAAGATTATAGCTGTGGTGGAATGGGACGTGCCTGACTGGTGAGCAATAAGCATCACTAATTTTCCAACGTTCCAGTCCTTAATCACTCTTAATTTCATTTGCAGAACAATCACTTGATGTGGCCTTTTGCCAAAAACATTAGCAATGGATTTTTTATGCTTAGGGGCCATAGTAAACCAAACAACACATGATCAAAACAAACACAAAAGAAAATGATGTAATCTAAAGATGTAAGCAAGAGATGTTTGAGGTTGCTGCCAGTCCAGCATCACATAACATAGTGTTTTACTGAAGACTTTTAAAAAATAGGTATAAAAAGTACACTTTAAAATAACAATAAAAACTATAGAATGGTAAATAAATAAATCAGCCCTATAGTAGTTTATTATTACCAAGTGCTATGTACTGTTTATACTGTATGTGCTATATATACTCTTATATGAACATAATGTGGTATGTCTTACATTGATTATATTAAAACAAAGTTTATTTCTTCAGTGGATGTTTATTTCTGATGTGTATCAATTCTATGCAATTGAGACAATACCCATATGCTTATATATAATTTGGTGATACATCTAAGTAATATGTATATAATTATAATAACTTTATAACATAGTTTAATGAAGTATTAAACTGATGCTATTAAAATATTCATTATAATCTCCACTCCCATTAATCCAAGGCTTTGAGTAAATACCTGTGATTTCACTTGAAAGTGAAAAAATCAGTAATTCAGGTGCTTATTTCTACAGTGCCAGGCAGTTGGATATTTGTTAATTCAGTTTTTAGGCTCAATGTTTTTCAAGTAAGCAATTAGCATCATATAAACAACATCAGAAGAAAATATAGATGTCTCTTCAGCAATTTAGACTACAATATGTTTTTACATAAAATAGGTTAAGATGAGATAGTTGTAGTTTGAAAGTTTGAGAGATTCCATCATTTAGAAGATTGTTTTAGTAATATACTTTGCATAATGAGATTGGATGTTAACATGAAATTTTAAATAATATTGAAGATAAAGTACCTAAAGACACTCTAAAATTTGTATATGATAAATATGAATGTAATGTTCACCTACATTCAGTTTTATGTGTGTGAATATTCTATTTGGCCAACATTCACTTAGTAACATTAAGTAATAAAACCCAAGGAGACAATTGAGAAGAGTATCCAATCAGGAGATTGAGTTCAAAAACATAAAATTAGTTACAACATAAATGTTTACCTTCTCTAATTCAGTTATGATAATTAAACATCATTCTTGGTCAGCAATGTCTGAAAAATTTGCTTAAATTATTCAGATAGTTTGGAACATTCATTGGCCTATGGCTAGATGGTCGTATGTAGCCCTTGACTAATTTCTTTGTTATTGTACAATTTTATTCTTTTTAAAAAAGATTTTATTTATTTATTTTCAGAGAGGGAAGGGAAGGAGAAAAAAAGAGAGAGAGAAACATCAGTGTGCGGTTGCTGGGGGTTATGGCCTGCAACCAAGGCATGTACCCTGGCTGGGAATCGAACCTGTGACACTTTGGTTTGCAGCCCGCGCTTAATCCACTGAGCTATGCCAGCCAGGACAATTTTATTTTTTAAAAACCAAGAACTAGCCAAAATGTTTTCCTAATAAAAAGAGTGTCATTTGGCTAATTTTGAAACTGTTCCATTTCTGAGCAGCTCATATTAAACTCTATTGTTTTTAAGTTGGGAAGTTATTTTGTTCTTAGGGACATCCTACTTAAATAGTATATCAAAATATATTGAGTATATACTTAGGGATGGCATTACGAAGTCATAGGCATACTTACATTTAGCTTTAAAAAGTAGTGTCAAGCAAGTCTCCAAAAGAAAAGTTGAAATTTGCTTTGAAAAATTGTCAATTTCTGTTAAAGTTGAACATAACCATTGTAACCTAGCAAATCCACTCGGATTCAAATATGCACCAGAAGACAGACATGAGAATATTTATAAAAATGCTATTCAAATTAGCTTAAATTATAAAGAATCCAAAAGTCAATGGTCTTAAATGGGATAAATAAACAGTGGTGTATTTGTACTGGAATATTATTTGGCGGTGAAAAATTTGACATACAAAAGCATGAGTGAATCTCACAAATACTCAAGAGCAGCAAACTAATCTTAGATGATAAAAGGCAGAGCCAATACTGCTTACCATAGAGACAATGGTTAGCTTGTAGGTGCTGAATGGTGGCTAGTTTGAGCCATACCTTTAAGAATTGTACATTTTATGGATGCTACATTTAAATAAAATATAAATGTAAAAATAATATGCCAGCTGTAGGAAAAAGTTTCCAAATTTGGGTGGGGTGAGAAAAGTGGATCAAGGAAGAAGAGTGGAGAGCGAATCCCATTTATTTACTTTATCCTTTGTCACTCATTCTCTCTTCTAAATTCGGGGTTACAGCATCAGAGACTTGCCAGCCTCCAAGCCTTCAGAGGTTGGCAAACTTCTGGCCTGGGCCCCTCCTGCGCAGAGGCGGGTATGCAGGGATGCAGTGTTCGAGAGAGCCCTGGGATCCCCTCCAATCCCACACAACACAACGGGAACTGCAGACACAACAGCAAAGCGCTGCTATGTGCAAAGTAGCAGGCGCCCCGCGGTAGCTCCCCTGTTTCAGCCGCGGTCCGCTGGACAGCGACAGGACGACTTCCTCCCCTCCCAAAGAACGGTCTGTCGGGCAGGCGCTTCCATTAGTTTCAGGAGGGTACGTCTTCGTTCACAAAAAGAGCTGTTCTCCCCTAGGTATACACGAGAACAAACCAGTGAACACTGGAACAGGACGCAGCTGCTTTGCTATTTATTTTTTATTTTTTAAATTCGGAGCCAGCAGGAGCCAACGCACCCCTGGCAGAAGTGCAGGAGCGGAGAGTGGGGACAGACTTCTTTCTCGCCGGCCTGTCCCCTCCGGGGCGCGCGCGGTGTGACGCGTTCCCCGCGGGAGGGAATTCCGCTTTTCAAGGTACCTGGGCGCAGGAAAACTCCAGCGGACTCTCCTGGAAAAGAGACCATGCCCCCCAAGTCCCTTCGCAACCTCTCCCAGACGGCCGGCGAGAATCAGAGCGGTTTCTTCCCCGGGCTCTCGGACAGGGATTTTCTGCCCGCCCCCGAGGAGGGGACCACCGCTGACTTCGTGGTCCGCTGTGTGATCCCGTCCCTCTATCTGTTCATCATCGCGGTGGGCTTGCTGGGCAACATCATGCTGGTGAGGATCTTCGTCACCAACAGCGCCATGCGGAGCGCCCCCAACATCTTCATCTCCAACCTGGCTGCCGGGGACGTGCTGCTGCTGCTCACCTGCGTCCCGGTGGACGCCTCGCGCTACTTCTTTGACGAGTGGATGTTCGGGGAAGTGGGCTGCAAGCTGATCCCCGTCATCCAGCTCACCTCCGTCGGCGTGTCCGTGTTCACTCTCACTGCACTCAGCGCCGACAGGTAAGGGCGCAGGTAGCGGTCGAGTGGCTTAAAAAGTGGTGGGGAGGGGCGGGGAGAGCACCTGGGGAGGAGGGAGGGAGAAAGAGGGGGAAGAGGAGCAGAGGAAGAGAGTGTGGCTGGGAATTAGAGTAAACGATGATGAAACCGACTGAGATGTGCAGCTTGAAAAAAAAACATCAAAATTGTTACTTTTAAAACAATTAAAATTGCATTAGCTTGAAAGTAGTTTTAAAATTGCATATCCTAGTCTTCCTCTTCCCTTCCACACACTTTGGGAATCTTCTATTTCATAGAAAAGCCACAGAATAAATGGGCAACAGTGTAGCTACCTTGTAGAAGCTGTCTCTGTGTGCTTAAAACCTTAGACGTGCCATTTCCTTATTTTGCAGCTTAACAACCTGATACGTAAGAGTGTTTGCCTTAATATTAAGGAAATGTTTGATTTTGATTTTTTTTCCAAGTAAGGGAAAACACCATTTACACTTAAAAACTAAATTCTGCTACTTAGTTGAAGCAAAAACAACTAGAATAGTAAATGTTCTGACACATGATTTCACACTTTTTTTGTTTTAATACCTAAAGTCAAGTGATATGTTGTTTGTTTTGTCACAAACAGGTAGGTACCAACTATTCGTATTTTAAAAGTGTTGTAAAAACACACCCTAGATATGGAATCTGCTTACATACATGTTAAGAGTGGGAAGTGTCCTTAGCTCTACCTTGCAGATCATGTAGTTCCACTGCATCATTTTCCAGGTGAGGGTACTGAGGCCCAGGGAATGGAAGTTCCCTGGCAGAGCTGGGAGAAGAATCCAGGCTGGCGAATCTCGGGTCCTGTGACACTATTGAAGGCTCTCTGCATCATGCTTTTGGGCATTGAAGCAGGAGGGATGCCTGGGTGGGAGTGAGGCAAAATTGGGCATGCCCAAATTTGAAGTGACTTTCAATCGGGTATCATTGCGTGAAGCTGTAGTCTCATACCCATGTGAATGGGGTGTTGACTTAAACTATTTAGATAAACAGTTTAACTTGGATGATTAAGAGGGTGTCACTCACCACCTCTTTAATTTATATGTTAGGTTATTACTGAAAACTGAATTCATCTGAATTTCCTGGTATTTGCAACAATACCCTTATCTCGTTGGTGTTAACTGTTAGTCTTCAGTAAAGGAAGACAATATTCAGTGGAGAGTTGAGAGCTATTGTCTTCTTAAACTGAATATTATTGATTTTTAAATTTGTATAATATTTTCTCTAGAACCACATTCCTATAAAAATAAGTGGCTTTGGATAAATTAGCCACCTAATTTTGTTTGGCATGATCTCTATGATCTTTTTTGAAACGTTTTCTTTGAATTCCATAATTAAAATGTGACTTTTTCAGTTTAACTGCCCTTCTTTAGGGGACCCATTTTGAATTGAAAGTTTTTAAAAAAAATTTTAGGTAAGGGTTAGAATAAAACAATCAATAGTTACCACTACACTAGTTAAAATTACTGTTGTTATGCTTTCATTTTGAAAGGTAACATTAGTAACAAGACTCAGGGCTTGAGTTTATTCTACAGCACTTTTCTTTCTTATTGTGGACAAATGCAGGCAAATTGACCGACAAAAGTCGGAGAAAGTGTTATTCCTCACATATGTATTGACTTTCAGTTCATTATGTGTGCATCAGGTACTTTGCAATTAAAGCGTGGATACTTACTTTAATAATAAAGAAAAAGAAAGGTGCATTTCCTCTTCCACTGGGTCCAGAGGCTACTCTTGCCTGTCAGTGTGCGTTTGGGAAATCTAAATGGAGGAACTGGAATCGCTGGTGTTGAAATCACACAATACATTCCAGTATCACTTAAATGGCTTGGGCATGTTTTGTTTTATATTGTCCACTTCTCTGTTGTTCTTGCAGAACATGGTAATCTGAGTGCTGATTTGTACCTGACCTCCTCTCACTTCGTCTCACCAAATGTTTTACTTTCTTGTGGACTTGGAAACAAGAATAAGGCATTGCACATAGCACATCGCACTGTGCTAAGGTTTTTGTGAGTTTATTATTTTCACAATACTGTGGAGTAAGCACTGTCATTATTACCACTTCACAGTAGAGAAAACGAAGGCTAGAAATTAAGCAACATTTTTCCTGATTTCGTAGTGGAGCCAGCATTTGAAACCAGTTCAAAGCCTACAATCTTCACCATTAAGCCACGTTATTACTTTCCCAGGTATAAGAAATTACTAGTTTTTTTCCTGTTCAATGGCAGACTAAAAAAAATTACATTTGAAATATAGCACCAAGAGTAAATAAAAAATGATTGCAAAAGCTTATTCATTAGATTCAAGAATGAAAGCATGTCATGAATGTAACAGCAAAGTAAAAGAAACACCTTGAATTCAAAATGAAGTAGCAGTTGTAGCAATAGGAAAGTTAAAGAAAAGCTGTTATTAGAGTTTTTAACAACATATTCAATTGTTTGTTAAACTACACTAAATATTCTGTCTTCATGAGGTAGCTTATATAAAGTTAGAGAATTTAGAAATAGAGATCACAGTAATGCAGAAAAAGAAACAGGAAGATAATTAGATTTTTGGAAGGCATATCCCAATGTGAAGTAGAAAGTTAATGTTAGCTATCATTGATGACAGTGCCAGATGGCAAGACTGAAATAAGAAATATACCATTTACCTTGAGGCCTAAGTTACCTTGTTTGACAAGGGTGGTGTGGCTGACACTGTGTGGTGGCATTGAGTATTCATCCTTGACTTTCCATGTTCTTTTGAGGAATTTCAGCTGATTCATCCTTAGGAAAGCTCTTTTGTGTCCACTGTGGATGCACCTCAGACACATTTCATAAGCAGAACGTGAGGAGGGACAGTGTACAGTCTGAAATGGCGCTATCAGTTCACTTTTCAGTTTTATATTGATGGATTTTTGTTACTGTATCAAAAGCGTACCTCTTTTGCTTGCTCACATCAAGTAGCTAATTAACAATATTTGCATATTCTGTGTTGTATCATTTCTACCAGTTTTGCATACCCACTCACACACACACACACCGCCCCACTGTTGGGACCAGTGTGCTGTGATACTGAGTAGGCAAATCCCCATAAATCACACTTCACTTATGACAGGCATTATAGACAACTTCACTCTCTAACACAGTTGCATTCCAAATAGAATATTATTTCTTGGACTCTTGAAGACCTTTTGCCTCTAAATCCCATAATTAAAATGCAAATAACTTTTAAGAATGAGTTCTCCTTTTTCCTTTATGGCAAAAAATTCCCACAGATTCCTAGTGCTAAACTGTAAACTTTATCATTTTATGTATTTACAAATGTAAAACTAGGTATCAATCCCTTATTCTGTTTTTTTATACAACTTTAACTAAAGTGTATTTATAAATTAAATTCTAAAATTTTATAAAAGAATACAAGTGAAATTAATTTAATGCATCAGGTTATGTTGTTTTTCTGATACTAAATAGTCAATGTTGAACTGAATGCAAAAATAATATTGCACCTGACTAAGACCAAAGTGCTAATGTGTTACTAATTTCAAGCCTTTCTTTGTTAGTTAGGATAAACACATTTAATTCCATAATTGAGCTAGTGCTGTTAGGTACAAACCTTGAATCATCAACATTATATGCATGTTATAGCAATACAGACAGATATTTTCTTTAGTATAATTATTTATTAAAATATTAAAACAGAGCAAATGTGGGCCTCAGGTCTAACACTCTCTAGGCCTTAGGAAGTTTTTTTTTTTTTTTTAATCAGTCTTTGTCTAGTGGTGAAAGGGCATGCCATTATCTGTTTGCTGGTTGCTCATCAACACCCTTGACTGGAGCTCAGGTCCTGATGGAACAGCTGGCTTTGCTTTCTTTGGTCCATAGCCCTGGGCAGCAGAGTGCTGAGAAGACCCTGCCTCTCAGTGCGGGTTGAGAGTGGTTCTCAGAGTGGGCTTTTGAGCTCTTTTGAAGAAGTCTCCTGGCCATACATATCTAAGAGAATAGTCCACACTCACCCTACAGATAACCCATGTTTCCAGAATAATGACTTATTTATTTTCAACTTGCTACAGAAGAATTTAAGGCATCTTAAAGATAAACATGCAAATAACGCACAATGGGAATAAAAAGGGGAGGAAAACCAGGTATAGGCAAATAAAAGTTGAAACATTCGAAGTCACCCCTACTTTCACAAAATGTGAGTCCTACAGTAGATTTGTCTGAGAGCTTTCTAGCTGTCAGCGCAAAAGGACAATTTGTTTTGCATAGCAAGTGCTCAGTTATTTTTACATCACCATAGAAACAGGATGAGTTGTAATCTGCATTTAATTTATTAGTTAATTTGAATTTATTTAAAGTTTGTTATATTTGACTCCAATAATCAGACATATTTTATTCATTAGTCTCAACTACTTCTAGTTTATTTCCTTTTCCTTTCTAATTTACGCATTGAATTAGGTGCTGCACCTCCTCACAATATTCACACTATTGTGTATATGTGTGTGTATGTATATAGATAGCATATATACATATATATGTATGTATATATACACACATGTGTGTGTGTATGTATAAAACTTTATAGGTTTTGGAGATTATCTACCTTGATCTGAAACTTTTGGGATACATTTTATAAATAAAGAGAGAATGTGCCCTGGCCAGTGTGTGTGTGTGGATGGAGCACAGACCTGTAAACCAAAGGGTCACTGGTTTGATTCCCAGTCAGGACACATGCCCGGGTTGTGGGCCAGGTCCTCAGTAGGGGGCATGCGAGAGGCAAACACACATTGATGTTCTCACTATCTCTTTCTCCCCTTCTTACCCTCTTCCTAAAAATAAATAAATAAAAATCTTAAAAGAAGAAAGAGAGAATGTACCAGGCTGGGGTTTATGGCATCTGGGTGCTAGTCCTGTATCTGTTATGTCCAAATGTTCAAGTTGGAAAAAAATGATCAAATGGCCCAAAAGACATGCCCATAAATCAGTATTTTC